GCAGGCAGGCAGACAGAGAGAGAGAGAGAGAGAGACACACACACACACACACACACAGACAAGCACACACGCGTGCGCAAACACACACACACACACACACGCGCGCATACGGGGACGAGAAACACAATCCCAACTTGCTTGCCCAGGCGTCGGCTCCCTGATGAGTGCTTGTCGCGCCTGGTTTGGTGGTCGTCTCCAGGCAAGTGTGATGAATAGAACCGGGGACCAGTTGCAGGCTTGCAGTCTTCATAGATCGGCAGAACCAGGCCGAATAAACTAGTTTAGTTCTCCGACCCCATTTATTTATTAATCACAGGTGAACATTACGGTCATTGTTTGATTGTGAAGCTTGGCCGTTGCTGGCAGTACTTTTTCCTGTTCCAATGATCTCCTTGGATTCCAGTAGTCTCTTTCTGCACGACGGTTCTTCACGTCGCATCCTCATTTAGGGAGGGACCTGCATAATCTCGCAGGGTGCCGACGACTCCTTTAGCGGATCAGGCGATGCTGTGCCTCCTTGCGAAGTGCCTTAGGCTTCATCGCTGATCTTATCAGACGAGGGTTATCCTTGTCTTGTGAGCGACTGGCAGAAAGCATGCACTGCTTGGAAGTGTGCGATATCCATGGGACCATTGGCAAAGAAAGGCATGTCGACAGATTTGCCAAAGATGTGACGTGATGTGAATCAGAGGATGGTTTGGTTCGCAACTGCTCTGCCTTGGCGGCGCTACACCCGGACGAGGCACTTTCGGCACCCAGAGCATTGTGAGTCGTGGCGCGAGACCTTCACCTGGTTGCTAGCGTTTTGGACACTGGGAGAACGAGAGCGGAAATGTTGTCTGAAAAACAGAGGCGGCATGATGCATTCGCATACGCATCTGTACTCTGTACATGGTGATTGTTCGTTTCGTCACTCATGTTTTTGCCTGTCTGCTTCCTAAGTCAAGCATCTTCATCTGCATATGTATGTATGCATTTATGTATGCATGTATGAATGTACGGATGTACGTACAGTTATAAGTTATAACTAGATATATGACACATGCAATTTACATAAGATGCAAATTGCATGTGACACGTACACATGTATGTGCTTGCACATGCTCGTGCCCAAGCTGCAAGTGGCCGGAAGTCACAACCATTGCTTGCGTTTTGTTGATTGTGCAGGTTCACATTGTGTTTGCTGTTCGTGTCTGGTCGTCCTTCGCGGCCCAAATGTTCGCGGAACGCGACGGGTGATCTGTCGCGATGCGAGCCGTCGTTTGCCAGTTCCGTCCATCTGATGGCCTGTCGAATGTAATGTTAGATCCTGCCAGTCATAACAGCCCCTGCCTACTAGACCACTTCAGCCGTTTGAACACCTGCCCGTGAGAGTCGGGACGCTTAGATTTTTCCGACGCCTGCTCGAGCAATCGGTCATGCTTTCGGATTTCCAACGACATGTATCAGCATGGATGTCGCAGGTTAAGGCAACCTATCAGCCCGTCAAGATATTGCAACTGGCAGGTGAAGTGTTCATGCTTCGCATCGTTTGCATTCCGCTTTGCTTTGAATTGCAATTTCAGAAGAGGTCGACCTCAGACACAGCCCTCGGAATAACAGGCCGCTGAGGCTGAACCTCTTGGGTTCGTTTGGGTTGGGGGCATAAGGTCCGGCAACACAGCTCACGAGTCTGGTCTGCGCCTTGCGCCCTGCCGAGCCTGAAAGTTGAACCCGAAAAGCCAATGTGAAGGCCACAGAGGCTGTTGTTGATGCCGCGCTTCGTCTCCGGCGACCCTTCGTGGTTGTGCCATGCTGCTGCCCGGCAGTCCTGGTGGATGCATGACTATTTTTGCAGGTTGAAAGGTCAACGAAGCTTGAGATTTGAGTACATGGCGACGGGATGCGCGCATGCAAGTTCTTCGGACCATGTTGGCCTGGGTGGTGTTGAGTCAAATCCACGCCATTGCCGTTTGGAAGTCTGACTGCTCCAGACCCAGGTGTCTTTGCGCGGCTTTTCCCAGCCAGGCGATTTGGGTTTTGTCGGACATGCTTTCTTTGCACTATTCGACGCTCGGGGTACCGGAACGATAGTCTTGTTGGTTGCTCTTTGGCCGTTCTGTGATGTTGTTCAGCATCTGCGCAGCATCATTGTCGACATCCTGCTCGCTGCCTAGACTTGGCATCATACGCAAGCCGAAGAGATTTTGCTTACTTCAGACGACGCGGGTATCGAGACAATCCTTCAATCTGATGAGCCTGTGGAAGGATTAGCAATCTTTCGGCAGATCATACATGCCGACATCAGGCACGCAACTTCGCACCTCGTGCAGCCCATCATGTACTGTAGACGACGCTTGAAACTTACACCATGACCTCAGTGCGGCCCATTCCGCAAAAAAAAAAAAAGAACATGGCCACTAGCAGAAGCACTGACAGCAGTCGCAGTAGTGGCCGCAGAAGCAGCTTGAGTAGGAGTGGTAGCAGCAATAGTAGCAGTAGTAGTAGCAGTAGTAGAAATAGTAGTAGTCGTCGTCGTTGTAGTAGCAGTAG